CAACCCTCTGCTTTCTTCTATCCAGCCACTCTTCTATCTAATTGGCTAACTTACCCCCACACCAATAGAGATAATTTTTTACAAGCCTTTTATGTGGCACCTTGTCGAATACTTTCTGAAAATCCAGATACACCAAATCGACACCTTTACCCTCATCTACATAAGCAGTAACCTTTCAAAAGTATGTTAAAAGATTTGTAAGGCAATATTTTCCCTTAGTGAAACCATGATGACTATCCAATCAAATTCTAAGTTTGTTAAATGACTTTGCAAAGCATCTTTTAACAGACTTTGAGGAGTTACATTAGCTAAATCCTAATCTTCTCGTACCTGCCCATTATTCGTGGACTGACAAAAAATAGTAGTAAGTGGCTCACATATCCAATATTTAACCTCCTTCAAAATCCTTGGGAAAATATTATCTGGCCCAGGAGCCTTATCATTTTTTAAACCTCCTAATTTTTTTTAACCAGCTCATAATTAATGCAGTCATCTTGTCTGATCTCGTTTCCATTTATCGACTGATCAAGATGTGGAATACTGCTTAAATCTTCATTAGTAAAAACTGAAGAAAAAGCAAAATTTAATAACCCAGCCATTTCATAATCATCAGCTACTAGCTTTCCTTTATCATCCTATACCCATCCTAACATTTTGTTTACCCATAATGTATTTAAAGAAATCCTTACTGTTAATTTTTACATTTTCAGCCAACCAATTCTCATACATCCTTTTTGATGTCCTAATTTCCTGTTTCACCAACTTTCTTGATCTTCTAAATCTTCTGTCATACCAGTCAATTTAAATTTCTTAAATACATATTAAGATGATTTCTTCAGGGAATAAACAAAATACATGAATCTAGCTTACTGAGAATGAACTTCTTCAAACCTTGATCTCCAAATTAGTTTTAACAAAAGCCCTTGAAGAAGTACTTAAAATTACTGAACATTTAATCCTACGTACTTGAGATACAATTAAAGGAACAAAAGACATTGATATGCATTTTTAGGAAAAGATTTTCTTCCCATTTGTAATAAATAAGCTTTGATTTTTCATTCAATTTTATTTAGCTATGGATTTCGTTCATTAATCTAACTTGAATGAACACTCAGTGGTACATCCTTTGTACTACCCAGGACATTTGTAAAAGACAGAGTTTCTGGTCAATGTAAATGCTATACAATGCGGCCTGTAACTGATACTGTCATAAGTTTATCGTAAGATTGCATGGTCTTACGTTTAACATTCAGACATGCTTCCAATGCCATTTTTTATCAATTTTGCTGGCTCTGAGCTTGTGTAGTACGCTCTCTCAAAATGACAGCAGATTACCACATCTGGATTAAGTTTGTTGGGAGTCTGTGGCTTTTTGTTGGGCCTTTTATACATATTCGATTTTTTCCTATAGTGACTTACCACCCCTTGCCCAATTTTAAACACTGGTCCAATGTAACATAGGAACTTTTCACATTATATAAAGACGTTATTTTGGTATGCACATAGCAATTAAATTATTATTTATTCATTTAGAGTACAAGGTGATTTACCAGGTTTATAGGCATCAAAATGTGATGCTTCACATATGCAACATTAAAGTATAGTGATACATGGAGCCCTCACTCCCACAAACACAGAGGAAACAATGTAATAATGTGGGTAAACAAATAGCAATATCCCAAAATGTTTCAACCAAATTAATAATAATAACAGTGGAATTTGCAATTAAAACATGCATTTATATGCAACACTTCAAGTAGACAGATCAACACAAGTAAGAAAGTTTTTGCTAAACAAAACAGAAATAAGTGACATGATTTCTTACAGACAGATTTATACACTTTGAATATCATACTTATATTTAAGTAAGATATATATATATATATAATAATTACAAAAGAGGAACACAACAGTTCTCATTCATATTTCAAATTGGGTTGCCTTTGATTACAAGGTTATGTTTTTATTATGCAGTTGCTGCTTTAATAAAACATGTTGGTAAAATTGTCATGCTCTATCCTGACCATAATGTCACATGGTATTTTTCTTTATTGTATGAACTATAGCCTATATATATTACCATTTTTTGCTGGGCCCCACAATCCAGCCTTGTAGATTATATATATAACGTACCATGAAATAATAATGCAAAATGTATTACAATTGAGAATGAAATATAGTATGAAACGTTTGAAATATTTTTCTCTACCACAAGAATTACTAACTCATAATTTACTAACCGATGGGCGATAAATATTAAATATTTAATGTTACTTGTACATAAACTTAAATGGGGTTTAATGAAGCCTCATACAAGACAAAATTTTCCATAGCAATTATCACGTAACTTGTTATATCATGAGACTGAGAGAATAGTAAATATTAAAATCTTTAAAAGCGTGACCTTACGACTCAGAACAAGACAGTGAGCCATGGTCGAAAATTTAATAAAAGATTGTTGTACACAAGATAAGAGAAAACTTTAATTTCACACTCTTACTATGAAAGGCAATAGAAAAAGTTCAAACCTAAGCTCAAGGATTAATCCATGTGGCTACACGATTGTATGTAAATAAAACTAAACAGTAAACTTGAAAAACCTTCAAAGTTTCAATCTCGGAAACAGTTCCTGCTGTACCGTTTGTGAACTTATATTATATTCTTTAAACCCCAAAAGTTAAGTATCAACAAAATATATTTATCAACATACCTGATAATAGCAAAACTGGTCAATTTGATTGATTACCACGACATGGCACCTAGCTTATATTTGAGTCACCTCAAAATCTATTAATATTATTATTTTTTATGTACAATCTTTATGTCCCAACAATGATCGAACAAAACACAAAATGGGCATATTAGCTACCTAAATTATATAATAATTTACTAACAAAATAATACAAATATATTTTACTTTTATTAAAAATGTTTACCAAACACTGACAGTTGAAGAATTCCAAAAATCTGAAAAATAATATATTAAAATAGTTAAGCATAAGCAGTATTAGTTGTAATTAGAGCTTTATTCTTT